TCATCGTAGACTTTTTCCAGTTTCCTAATTTTTGAATTTTTCCCTGTGACAATTTTTTTCCACTTGCTTCAACACCAAATGTCCAAAATATTGATATAAAATAAAAGATAGCTTTTTTCTGTCTTGTCAACAATAATTACAATTTGGAAAATACATTGCTCTCGATTAAGAAACTGTTGCATTTTTTACAAAATTTTGTTTTCTAGAATATATATATTATTCGTAAAATAAGAAGTTCGAACTTAGAGTTTGCAATCAATACATATACATATACATACATATATATATATATATATATATATGTATATATTAATATATATATATATATACATATATACATATATAATCTCTCTCTCGCTCGCTCGTTCTCTCTCTCTCTCTCTCTCTCTCTCTCTCGCTCTCTCTTTCTCTCTCTCTCTCTCTTTCTCGTCATTGTGATAATTGATAGTTAAAATCTTTCAATAATTGTAAAACGATTCTTTGTACACTGCAGAAACTAAATAAGCATATACAGGTGTGTTTCATAATACTTTGTAACGATTTAATATATGTAATGGGAAATAAACGTATTCCGACTTTATTCAAAACAACCTGCATAATCGCAGAATATACACATCTTTAACAACACGTTCTACCGTCAAAACGTCAACAAGTGTGGCTGATGGGATATCAATATGGCACTAAAGTGATTGGGTGGAGTATGTGAATGTCATGCGAAGAAAATTTTTTAATTTTTTTCATTTTCTCTGTTATCAAATATGTATATATCGATTCTTCCTTTCTTTTTTTCATTATTTTGTTCAATATATATATTATATATATACATACATACACACACACACACATATATATATATATATATATACATATATGTATATATAATGAACGTAATTAATGATTAAATTATCGTTACATTTTTTTTTCCCTTTTCATTATCCCCCTCCCCTTTATTTGCATTCTATACAGGTAAATGGAGTCTGTGCGAGTGGAGTGATGGATGATGGAACATGAATTACGATGTAGCCTAGCACACACAGCCAAGTAACGTGACACGCAACGCAAGCCACTCTATTGTGGCAACGTGTGTCAAATTCAATTATAGTTACTGTAACAATAGTTCATATTAGAATTGAGGCGAGTCAATGCAATTCCTACAGTTTCCCTGATTACTACACTACGTCTCCACGTGCGAGAGTATAATTATTATTTTTTTTTTTTTTTTATCTATTTCTGTAAATATTTTTTTTCTTTTTTTTTTTTTGTTTTTTTTTTTTGTTTTTTTTAATCGATCGATTATTGATTTAAAACGTTGAACCTGTAATGACGACTTTTACAAGAGATTTAAGACACTACCTACACATCTATACTTAGTAATCGTGTACAACTATCCATGGCGCGCAATGATCATTCTTTCGCGCCGTGTTTATACCCTTTTTAGAAGAATGATCGAATGAAATATCTCGAACTGTACAAAACAAAGCGTCATATGAAATAAGATTCTTCTAAATATGTGGCGACTGCCGGCTTTAAATTGTCTAACGATTCTTCCTCTTGTTAAACAACTCGTAGGTAACATAGACTGGCCAACCAATACTGTTTTGCCACTTTATATGGAGGTATTTGCGTATCTTTTCTTTCAGACAACAATCGTCCAACATGCGACAATAAAATTTAACACAATAATAACAAGTAAACTCTATAAAGGTATCTGTCAACATTGAAACAATCAGAACAAACATATATACGATCGATCCTTTTTCTCGTTGGACGTTTTTTTATGGAAATTTTTGCATCAATCGTAATTATGATTCAATATTCCGAATAATTTAATTTTATCCTATTGCGTTATACATCCTCTAACCATTGAACACATACGAACCAGTACATATAGCCCCATAACATTAATATTTATAAAATAGTAATATTGTATAGATGCATATTAACCGCTAAAGGAAATATAGTACTTATATTAGATTGGTTTATCTCTATTAGCTTATAACACATTTATCGCTTAATTTTCTTACCGCTGATGCAAGGAGAGTTGTTTTTTTTCTTTTTTTTTTTTTCAAATGTTCCAAGTGATAACATTGGAAAATTGATATTATGACATTTGATTCTGATAGAAATGCACATTTCAACATCGACATCGTCATTTATCATTGCGAATAAAACGCATCCATCTTCCTTGCCTTGATGAATCTTTACATCACCGAGTTATTTTCCCTGCACAAATAAATTTTATATTTTACACACTATTAACATATCGTGGCAATTTTTACGTACTGGTAGCTGATGAATATTTATATCCCCTTCTCTCATCTTACTTTTCTCTCTTTCTTTCTCACTCATAACTCCATCACAGCTAGCCTTATACATAATCTGTTCTACTAAGGAATGTGTTTGCTGAGAAAAACTGTAACCTAATTCTAATTATTTCTTGCTACCTACAAGTTGTTTATTTGTATAGAGATTTATGAATAAAATTTATTTAAATATTCTAATTTTTCTTATTTTCACTTTTTTTCTTTTACTTTAACGTGCATATTACAAATTTAATAGAATTTAGACTCTAAATCGAAAAAAGATAATTTAACTTTTTGATTTTGATCACAGAAAATAAAATAAAAAAGTCTTGATAATTGTTATTCTCTGATGCAATCGATAACATTAGAAACGTTATAATTTTAAGAACATAAGATAAAAAATATTTGTCTTCTCATAAAAAAAAAAGAAGAAAAATTAAAAAAAAAAAAAGAAAGAAAGAAAAAAAGAAAAAGGAAAAAGTTAATAGAAGAATATTTTTTGAGATAAAAATCTAATTCACTTCACTATAATAAGTTACTTGTAACAAGCACAAAATATATCAAAATCTTTGTAATGAAATCAAATGTAAATTCATTTTTAATTCACCTACTTGTACGAGTTTAGTGCAATACTAGATTTAGGTACCTTAGTACAAATATATTTAATGAGCATCACAAATGACAAATGTACGAATCGATGTATTATAAATGAACGAGATATAAAATCCATTTTTTTTTTTTTTTTTTTGAAAATCCTCACCTATATAAATCAATTGGAACACACCTGCCTACCGGCAGTCAGAAAATGTGAATTATAAAATAGAAATAGAGAGAAAGTGACGATAGGATAAAAATCGATAAATCGCCAATGATAGATCTAATGTGATGATGCGTATTAATTAACGAAGAAAAGTACTGCATATGCGGATGCAATAAAGAAATATTATGCTGCCATTAATATTAATAGCACGATCGCTATTAAAAAGTGATTTATAAATTAAATTAATGGTACACGTGACGTTCGTAACATGTTCTATTAAAGTTTCTTTGAATAGATCTATCTACAGCAATATAATAATAGTTTCCATCTTCATCGTATCTGTGACTTCTTTTTCAATGTATTTGGGCAACACAGTGAAGTTTAATCAATAATAGTTCACATACAATTTATGAATAAACATAAAATTATGTTTTACGTACGCGGACGCAAATATTTTGTCAACAATGTTTATAATATCATTTCATTACTTATATTATATTTTTTATATATTATATTTATATATTTATATATATATATAGAATATATATGTGTATATATATATACATATAAATATACACATATATGTCATTTATATTTTAGATAATATGAATTCTCTTTTATTAATAATCTAATTCAAACTTTTCATGTATATATATATGCATCTTTTTTATATACATATATATATTATATATATAATATAATATATAATATATATATTTACTCTTTTTCTCTCTGTGTGTAATATATTATTACTCATGTTATGCGATATTTATGAATATACAAGTTATTTTAAAGAGCGGTGAGCCAGCGCCTCCAGCTATGAATTGTACTCATGTACACTTATATATTTCATTTGACGCTACAGCTAACGTTTTCAGATACTTTAACTAAACCCATTATTGATTACCGCCTATCCCTTATATCACCCTTTCCTAATACCTACCCCCCCCAAAAAGAAAAACAATGATTTGAAACATTTGTTATTAGTAGATGCTGTATCCTCTTTTTTATCTAGCAATGAAATATAAGCTATTTATTTATTCTGTTGCTTATGATATTGATAATTATCAACATAAACGAAGTTTCTAGCTAAAATCCATTCCCTATCTAAAAATTTGATTCAACGTCAAAGTGCAGTTGTTAAAAATCTGTCAAAGATTTGGTTGGCTTAAATAGAATTCCACATAAAGCAGTATCATACAGAACCCAAGGATGTATGACATATGCTGACCATAATAAACTTTTATATAAATTTTTATATAAAAGTGAATATATATATATATGCAGAAATCGTAATTTATTTCATTCTCATCAGGATACTTAATCATTGCATAGAAAAGAATTGAAAACACAGAAAAGAGAATAGAATATTTTTTTCAAACAATATTCCACAATTAAATTATTGAAAATGGTTGTATATAAATATAAATATCTCTATGTAACAAAAATAATTATATTTATGCTACTATAATATAAAGGAATGACAAAAAAAAATTTTTCATGTTCACAACTTTTAGTTTGAAGTGTGTCATGAAATATAAAATTGTATTCAACTGATATGCCTTGAAACTAAAAATAATTAGACAAAACTTTTAATGTGCAGCACATTGCAATTATACTGAAATATTACTCGAAAAGATCGTTTTGATCCAATGATAAATCGAGTAATACTTATCCTAACATCTTAATAAAATGAATTCTCTGTTCCTAAAATATGAATAAAGAAAAATGAGACTCGATATTTATATATTTCTGAGTATATTAATCTAAATACTATACGATGTAATAATTGAATGAAGATTTTGAGAAATAAAGACTTTGGGATTCAGAATAAAACTTGGCAATAAAGTATTATGTTTATCATTTAGCTGGACCAGCCAGCATTGTAAATATATAAATATATGTTTATATATAGAATAGCTCTCCCTTTGTATGTATATTTATCTTCCAGCCAAGTTATTTCTGCTTTACAAATGTAAGATCTTTGGTTTTGCCAAGGTATTACTCTGTACTTAAGAAAACTCGCTCAATATTATTAACTATGAGTAAAAACTCGTTCAAACAGTCTAATCATTTCGTAGTTCAAGGAACAGTTCAATACAATAATTGCAATATTATTTTGTGGAAATGAATAGAATTTGACTTGCGCGATACATTAGGATATTAATCTTTCAGATCGAAGTCATTCAATTTGTGAGTTCTGTATGATCTTCTAACTAAAAATATCTCTCGCATTAATAGTAAGATTATGCTCCTATATATATAAAAAAAAAAAATAGATTCATCTTTATGAAACGAAACAATTACCCATATAACATTGTTGTCTCGATTTTTCAAGAACAACTATGGCCAAATTGTGCCATTTCGTTTCTAATATAATTATAATTTTATCATGCTTCTTTCAATATCCTATTATACCATACAACTAGATATATTATGTGACTCTGATGTGGTACGTGTGTTATTTGTGATAAAGCCCCGTAACGTGGTGTATCACAGAACAATTGTAGTAGTTATCATATAACATATAATATTTATATATCATAATAATCTTAAAAGATAGATAAATGTTGACGAACTATGATGGATGCATGAATAGTGATGTGATAATGCAAGCGCTATAGTGATGTAGCGACAGATGACAACGGGTGGTAGGTGATAGTGGACGAGAGTTTAAAGAAGGGAAGAGAGAGCTACCGCAAACATCATCTCAAGATGTGGAAAGATGAATAACGGAGCTCAATAATGGGGATGAACAAAAGTGCTGTACTTGAAATCAATGGATCATATTGGCGAGGGCATTCTGACGTGCTCGTTTTGCTTCCTCTTCACTGATCCTTTGCTCAATTAAATATTGAGCAGTACCAATTGCATTAGGATAACCCGTGATAGTCACTATGCGGTTCCTGGTACCAGGAGCGAACATGCCCTTCTTAGAGATTTGTATGTTGGCGCCACTTAGGTGCTGAATCTCAATGAGGGCACGACCACCGGGTCCCAGAATAGCTCCCACTATAACCTCTGCAATTTCTATGTCTACTTTCTTGGTCTCCTTGTTGTTGGCATCTACCTGTGTAGGACTCTTACTTACAAGTGATAACTGGTTAGTGCCAAGGCCAAATGAATTGTTGTTTAGATGAATAGCACTGGCAGCTGTGTTGTTTTGTCTGAATGGATCAAAGGGCTCGTATCTGTCAAGTGTATTACGTGGTGTAGGAGACGTAGATCCAAGAGTAGGAACTGTTCCAATTGGCCCAAATACACCACCATTATTATTCGAACCATTTGCAGTTGTAGTGCTGTCCATAGGATTTCCAAGATAACTCATACTAGAAGGCATTCCAATTCCCATTCCAAGAAGATTGTATTTAGCAAGTGTAGCAATAGCAGATAAAATTTCACTAGCAGCTGGTTCGGAAAAACCTGCCGTTCGTAAATTTAATTTTATATGTTCCAATAATTGCGTTGTCACTGGTGCTGTACCCGCTGTAATAGCAGCTCCTAAATTCAAGTTCAAACTTAATCCAGCACCATTCAAGAGACTCACTGTGAATAAAAGTTATAATTTATTAACATCGCATTTTAATTTTACAATTGTTACGTTTTTTATTTTTTATTATCTTACCTGTATTAATGCCAGCTGTAGAGGTGTATGTAGGAGTACTTGTAGGTGCTTGAGCATAAGGACTGCCTGTAGGATTATAATTAGCTACAGGACCACTAACATCTGCATAACTAACATTTGGACATGTACCACTATGTGGATCATCTGCCACTTTTGCTAATATCATCATTAATGCATTACGATTATTTTCTTTTTCTCCAATTACTGTTATACACCTTTCTTGTAAAGATACATCTTTTGCTTTCTGACTTATTTGAACATATGAACCACATTCTTCTTTTATTTGTTTAATATAATTTCCTGCTTTACCTATTATCATTCCTGCAGTGCTATTAGGCACTAAAATTTTTACCTAAAATATTACATTAATTATAATATAAAATGAAGAAATTCTATTCTTTCCGATTACAATCAAATATATACATGATATATGCAATATATACAATATATGTACATGAAAGAACAATTCTTATTATACATTTCCAATAAATATAATATATTTGATTTATTATTATTGATAACAAAAATAGGATGTTATTTAATAATATAAATTTTACTAATAATATAAATTTACTAACATTACAAGTAATACACTATTATAATATTAATATAGAAAATATTAATTTAATATAAATTAATATAATTAAATATTAATTAAAATTAATTTAATGTAAATACATATAAAAAATCAAAACATATAAGAAATTTTATACCTGTTTATCCCTTTCTGCAGTAGTTTTTCCCGATTCAAAATCTACTGTTGTTTTCAATGTAAGATCTGGTTTTTCACGAATTTTATCCATAATGAAGTCCATAACAGCCATTATAGCTTCTAAACTGCCCGTAATTAAACATACTCTCTCTGTGGTTCCTATAGATCATATAAAATAATTATATATAAATAAATTATATTATCTTTTAGTAATGATATAACAGAAATAAATATTTTCAATATACCTGGATAAAAATCATGGGATTTAGACATTTTGACTCTGGCTCCTGTATCTTTTTGTAATTGGGCAATTGTATCTCCTCCTTTTCCAATGATTGCTCCAGCAGCCACTCCAGGGACCAATACTTTGAGGTGATATGTTCCATCTCCCCCTGTAAAATATAAAATTATATAATTATTGTATTGATTGCAAGAAAAATAATATTTATACACAAATTATGGATTAATATATGACAGAATACACAAGATCATTAGAAAATTATATTTTTTTAAGTTATATAAACAATTCAACAAAAAAATTTATTAGTATAAGCAAATAAAGAAAAACATTAAATTAATTTCATTAAAATGCACACACATTTAAAAACACTAAATTTTTTAATGACGATCATAATCCTTATAAAGTAATTAATTTTTAAATTCATTACTATTGAATTTAAATTATTAAAGCTCACATATAACTTTACAATATTCTTTTATCAAATAACATGTTATTCCGATATTCATTATAAAACTTGTGATTTCTGATTGGTTTCTAAAACGATGAAACGCGAAATCTTGCGTACTCACGGACACGCGAGCGCAGAAAGACCGATACCAATGAACACGTAGTACGAGCTTCGAAAAAGTGTCGCGTAATCGGTGAACGAAGAATAAGGAAGTATAATGTAGAATGACAAAGTTTCGATGCGTTGAAGGCAAACAGCTGTTTGACAGATGGAAGCCCTGTGCGCTCACTCGCTTCGCATCGACCTTGACCCGCAACCTCGGCAGCGGAACGGTGTGCCTGACAACTCACCGATACGCCACATCCTAGTAACTGCCACTCAACGGGTAGCAGCGTGTTCCTTAGTATGCCACTTTCGCGACAACAGCGGCACTGCACTATGAGAATGCGGCAGAAAAGTACACAATATGCGTACAAATGGAACGAGGTATAGGCCACTTCTTGCTGCGAAGCTAGTGGTTGAAATGATGAAACGGGCGCGACAGAGACGAAGTTGCAGAGTCACGGATCATAATCGACAGCCACCGCAGCAGCGATTCTCCATTAACGACGTTCACAGGCACAGTCGCCCACGTAGAAAGAATAACGACGATGACAGCAGCAATAGCGACGATGAAAATAAGCAGGAAAATAAGGACAATGTTGATGATTACGATGATGAAGAAGGATAGAAGGGTGGGGGGTGACAACGAAGACGAAAACGATGGTGACAATGCTGACGTTGACAATAATAAAATGAACGTCAACGAAAAAACACCGTTATAGATAACACGTATGAAGTCGCGTTTATGACATTAGACAGAAGATAGTGAACAAATTGAGAAAATAAGGAGATGAGAAACGGAAAAGAGAAGGAGACGTGGCACGAGAGGATGCGCGAACCGCTGTGCGGTGCACCGTGTTCACGTTCTCGCCTTCGTATACACGTTCGCCAGGCTTCGAAGTGGGAAACGAAAGAGAACGGTCGAGCGAGCGATCGCTGTGTCAACAGCAGCGACAAGATTGTCAAAGACGTGTGAGAGAGTAAAGAGCGCCAAGCAAGAAAAAGAGAGCAGAAAGAAAGAAAAAGAGAGGTGAAGGAGGAGAGAAAATCATTGTGAGTGTACATTATCGTTCGTATATGTATAGGAACATCGGTAAAGGTATGTAAAGAAACTTATGCGACAGTCAAGAAAATTGATTGACAACACGCAATTAAAATACCTGATCCGTAATGAGACCTCTTCGTCGCGCCATTTTCCGCGTCACAATCCAGCGGCCGCTTCCTGGAGTCTGCAATCTCCGGGGAGGGACACGTCTCCATTCCTGAGTCGGCAGCCATCTTGTCTTTTCAGTCGGGCACGCCAAGAGAAACGAGGAGAGAGAGATAGAGTAAGACAGAGATGTACTTTGACACAGAGACGATAGTCGCGACCGGTGGCAAGTGTCGTTGAAAGCAAGCGAAGGGAGACGCACCACACACGGACCGGACGAACGAATGAACGTACGCACGACCACGATAGGTTTAAGCGGAAGGGAGATGACGGACATATAGACACACGTATAGACGAACGAACAAACGACGAAAGCCCTCGCGGGGTACCGCGTCTCACTGGCGACTGCTCGCGGCTGCCTTGCCAACCAGCTGGTTGATACTCGATGGTGTGCCTCGGCCCTCGCGTTCCTCTCTCGCCCTCGCTATCTCTGTCACTCTTCTATCAATTCTGATCATTAGTATATCTCTCTCCTTCTCACCAGCCCTCGCGGGCTCTGTTGTGCAGGAACGTACTATTCAACCTATACTAGGGGCGTCTTACTTTGGGCCTTTACATTCATGCGTATACTTTTTATTTTTCAATAGAATATTAGAATTCGAAGAACATTTATTGCTCATTCATTCGTTCATGTTTCACTTATCCATTTTATTGACCTATATTTTGAATAATTGTCTCTTCTATTGACAATAACAATATTTAGCATTATATTACATAATTTATTTCTTTTCCATTTTTGTAAGTTCTTCTAATCGATTTAACATTTTATAATAAATGATTTTCGTATTAAATAATTTTTAATATATATCATAACTGATTTATTGTAAATCAAAGTTAACTGAATGAATTGTTATCGATTGATTTTACAGCTAAGCATCATACAGTTACAGTTGCAACTTACTGTGGCATGTTGCACTTATCGTACGTATCTTCAAGTGATACGAGCACTTTGTAAAAGATATTAATTTAAATTTCATATTTTATAATACTCAATTAAATATTATTATTAATAAAAAAAGATATTTATATTATAAAAATATTTTTCTTGTCAAGGACGTTAATCTTGTTGTCGTTGGTGCGCACTGCAGTATGACATCATAGTTCATGAGCAAGTGAATAAGATGCATTTGATTTCCTAACGATGATTTTAAAAGTACGATCGTTTATCAAATATGATATTTAGATCATTTTTTATTAATAAGTATAAATAAATTCATATGTTCTAGAATCATTATAGAATCATATGATGATTTATATTAACATATCATCATTCATTATTCAAATATAGATCGACAAATTATAACAAGATATCATTGATATATCGCAAAATTCTTCAAAATTAATTTTCTCTTTAATTAATTGTCAAAATAGTTATTAATATTACAGAAAATGAAATTATGAAAATAATTTCGTTCATTATATTAACAAAGTTGTAAAGAATATTATTTTTTTATAATCATTTTCTTTGAAAGTGAAATCATAGAATATATCATGTTCACGTGTACACAATGTAAGTACGTAATAATATGCATGTATTCTTTACGAATATTTTTATCCATGCATAAGTTAAAGTCATAAAGAAAGAGATATTTTTAAGAGTCTTATCTGGGGAAAGAACGTAGATAGTGTGCGCTATTGGTTTGTAATGAATCACGTGTTTAAAAATGTGATTCTTTTTGTTTTAAATTCCATACAAAATACGATTCGATTTTATCAAATGGTTTAAAAAATATTCAAAATTAAAAAATTAATTAAAAAATATTATTATTTTTTTTATTTCAGAATATTTTATCCATTTAAGTTAATAATATTACGTTATCAATAAGTACGATCAAAGTATTCTATTATAACGCAGAAGATTTTTTGCAACGAACAGAAACAATACAGTCATGGTTGAAACTCGTGGGCATTGTTTTCTAATACCAATTGCGCGCTCATGTAGTTGTTGATACATTGCAAATCGGATTTACAACAGTTCACTTTAAAAATTATTTTTCAAAAATATATATATTTTTCTTTTAACTAACGATTCATTATCAAGAAGAATAAAGTTCGAAGATATAATGATATTAAATAATATTTAATTAGGTATAGATAAAAATTTATTTCACATTACAAATAGCCGTACGAATCTATTGGCAAACGATGCTATATGTTATACACAGAAGCTTTCTGTCACAGTCGCGTGTCGCAATGCTGTTACTAGTGAATGCAGCTCATCGTTGAGACGACAAGAGCGACAATTCGTGAATCATGTTGTTCTTCTTTTCAAAATGTTGATTTTAAATGATTTGGTGGATTTTGAGTAATATTGTACTTTCACTTAATAATTCTAATAACTAGATTTAAACACGTGCGGATATGGCATTTCAAAATGTCTATTTCACTTCTACAAACAAATTAATATATCTCATGATACTTTCTGTACGACTATTCATATTGCATTTATTTGAACTAAAGGCGCGAACATATTAGTTGTCGCTCGTATGTACGATACTTATACAGTTCTCTGATCCGATTATATATGTCATAAATTTTTTGAGCAATAAAACTAGTACCATTAGTCAGTATATAGTCATCAAACTTCGTTCAATTGCACTTCTCTCTCATACACATATCCTATTTCGCTACTAATTCGGCTAGTTTAAACTTTTACTTAAGAGATATATTAAAATAGTTATATTATACAGTATTTAAATTTGATTAATTTTTTTAAATATAATTATTTAATATTAAATGTTAAATAATAAAATTAAATAATGAAAATTTATAAATGGAAAAATTTACAATAGAAAGTTTTAGAGAATTTTAATTAATATTTTTTTTTTAGACAAAAATTAAAAATTATTAATTAAAAATTTATGTTTTTAATGTTTTCTTAGCATCTTAGAATTTTTTATGTTATTGCATCACAATCCAGCATCTTGGATGAGATAGTATTTTTATATATATATATATAAAATTATTGTCAATCTGTTTAATGTGTTATATGATTCTTGATTATGATATTTCAATAATTTTTAGAAGAATTAATTAAATGTTAAAAGAATAAATTTTTTTTTGTATCATTCTTATTTGACAGCAATTCGAGTGAACGAATTAGATCCCTGCACTTTTCTAGACTTCGGGTTAACAGGCTATCCATCTATACTTAAGCGTGAGCGCACATTGTGCTATACGCACGATGCATACATTTAAATGTTTATCCAAGGCCATTACTTACTGACACATCAACATATTGCTGTTAACATATAACTTTAAAACAATAGGTTATGTGTCTTATAAAATTTCTAATTCATAATATATCTATAAGATTAGATTTCTATGTTTCAAACTTTAAAGTTTAAAAATGACAGAAATTATATTTACATAAATAAAATTTTTGCAAAATATCCAATAAAATAAATAATTATAAATCATAATTAACACTTTTTAAATATAAAAAATATATTTAAAAAATATATTAGTTTTCGTGCATATAGAATATTATACAAGCAGAATAGTACGATTCCTTGCTACGTTGACCTCATTTCTCAGTTGACCTTAATATCATACAAGGTACTTGAAGTCTATAGAATATTTCCATTCTATTAAATATTTTGAAAACTGTAATATATATAAATAAAATATATTTATAATTGTTATCATTTTTATACAAATAAATGATAATTCAAATGCAAAATGTTTTTATTTTAACTATAATTACGTACTCAATTATTTTGTATTCTACCGCTTAAAAGTTAATAGCTTAGATTGCATATTGCATACTTACATCATATTCAGATTCATAATTTATTATAAAAAATATTAAAATATTTAATTCTAATAACAAACTATATTTATTTATTTATATTTTTGATTTTTTTATTAATTTTATGCTTAATATTTTTTAATATGTCTTTTATATTATATATATATAGACACTAGTTTGACTAGATAAGTAATTTAATGAAAACATAACCTTTTTTCAAGTTTTAAATAATACATATATTATCTTTGGATTAATTACATATTACGTAATATGATTTGATATCTTTATAATTATACATCTTATGATAAGATATTAAGGCATTTTATAAATTTATATTGTTATTCTATGCTTATACTTCATAATGGATAACAGTATTATCGAAATACAAGTTAAAGTTTTATTTTTCGCTAAAGCAAGAGAAATAACAGGGAAAAAGGAATGGTATATTGTTGTTCCACAAAAATTATCATACACTGATTTAATAGATAAAGTAATAACTCATTTTAAATTAGAAACTATTCGTGATACCTTAGTCCTAGCAGTGAACGAAGAATTTGTTCCCTTAGATAGCACATTAGTACTTTCGCAAAAAGACGAAATTGCTGTTATTCCACCACTTAGTGGAGGTTTGAGTTTCCCATATGTTATGAATTAATATTATATATAATTAGTGTAAAAAAAATAAATTTGATATTTTTAGGTTAGAATGGATACTACAAAGGATATCGTGAAATTGCAACAAGAAGAGTTAAATATTGGATATATAATTGATTTAGTAACTGCATCTAATTGTGGAGCTGTATCAAATTTTATTGGTATTACTCGTGATAATTTTGATAACAAAAAGGTATTTATCTACTTAAATTTTTATTTATAAATCTAGAGATATATCTATATGTTTTTATTCACTCATATATGTTTTTCAGGTTTTAAAATTAGAATACGAAGCATATGAACCAATGGCATTAAAAGAAATGAATAATATATGTTCAAAAATTCGTTCTCAATGGAATGTTCATCATATTGCTATATATCATCGTTTAGGAGAAGTACCAGTATCTAAAGCAAGTGTAGTAATTGCAATTTCATCTCCCCATAGAGAAGAATCATTAAAAGCTGTTGAATATGCTATTAATGCATTAAAATCATCTGTTCCAATTTGGAAAAAAGAAATATATGACACACAAGAAATGCAATGGAAGGAAAACAAAGAGTGTGCCTGGTCAAATAGTAAATGATATTTTCATGTTATAATGTTTTTAAAAAACATTTTTTAAGATAAGAAATACAAACAAAAATTCTGTAAAATTTTTTTAAATTTTAAATAAATTTATTAAGCTGTACAAAATTTATATAAATTATGTTTAATATATTGCAAAATTGTTAAAATTTGTAAAAAATTGGAAAATAAGTTTTATATTAGATATATAGATATATTAATATGTTAATAAATTATTAATCATAATTTGTAATTTTATAATTATCCACCTAATTTGATTTTTCTTTATTAAATCAAAAAATTGTATATTTTTATATATGTTCAAAAATATATTTATTTATTGAGTATTATTTTATACAGTTCATGATGCAATTGATTTTGAGGAATCGGAAAATATTACAATAACAAATGAAATAATAGAGACAACAGTGGAATATGATAGCGAAGAAGAAGAAGAAGAAAAAGAAGAGTCTAAAATAATAATTGATCCAAATCTTGTTCAAATTCGCGCTTCGTCGAATGAATTAAATCATAGAATATCAGCTTTTATTGAACGAAAACGTCAACAAGTAAATATTGTGAATGTACAAGAATTTTGTTGTCACAGGTTAGTAAGTTATAAAATATTCACGAAAAAATATAAAAAAAATTAAATGTTTCGTGATATTATAATTTAATCTTATTATATTTTAGAGATCAAAATGACGAGAACGAAGATTCTTGTGCAAGAGTTGATGCCATTCTTATTAGAAGAAAAGATTCAAAAAGTCATGTAAAAGGTAAGTAAAGCAATTTTTGTATTTATATCAATTAATAATATAATTTTTAAATTTAAAATCTTTTTAGTGCATAGAGTACTTAATACATGGGGACCGCAAATGGTAGATCAACATATTTTGCATAAAGTTACAATGTCGGGAGCAAATCAAATAAATAATTATTCATCAGTATTAGATGAAAGAATTTCAACTACTGAAAAAATTCTTGGAATTAATCGACCTGTTCCTAAAGATGTTTATGAAAGGCTTAAAAATATTGAAGATAGAATATTATATTTAGAAGGCATATCTCCTGAATATAAAAATCTTTGGGTAAAATTTTAACTAAATATCATTAAATTCTAGAAACATGTAACAATAATAATAATAATAATAATAATTTTTTCAATCTATTATAGAAGACAGAAGATATGAATAATCTTAAAGGAACATTTAAACCAATCAGGAAAAGGGTAAATATTATATTGTATTTATATTATCTTCCAAATTGCATAGTTTTTCACAAAAACTATTTACTATAAAATAATTTCAGACATATTCCATGGCAGAACTTGACTCAAAATTGCATGAATTAGAAGATAAATATGCCAAAAGAGCAAAATAATCATTTAATAAATAAAATAAATAAAAATATATAATAATAACTATTATATATAATATAATATACTATAAATAAAAATTGTATAATAATAACTATTTATTTGCATATAATTATATTTTTAAAATAACAATGTACTTTATATAAGCAAAATTTATAATTTAATTTCTATTACTATAAAGAATGATTAGTAGTAATTAATAAACGTCAAACCATAATTTACATCCGCAATTAAATCACCAACGATTATAAATTCTATGTTTGGTGCATAAAAGTACAGACATGTCAAAAAATGAGGTTAAGCTTTTGTCAATCAGATAGAAACTTTTGTTTGGCTATGTACTTACATTAGTTCGTGTTTCGGTTAATAGAGGCAGTCTTCGTCGTGCTGCCATACGGTATGGCTGCGCTTTGTCGAAGTTTTCTCTTTATTCCGATATTTGAACTAAATTATTGATAGTAATGTGTTATTCATTTAAAAGTTCATAAAAACATTGCTGTATTTTTGAATGCTAAGTGAGTACTATCATACAATTTTTTAAAATACATATATTTTATTATATTTGTTGAACACGCGGCTAGCACGTCGTCTGCCAGGGTGACAAGCATCCTTTTTCCTCTCAGCTGAGTTTATGGACCATTGGTTGATTCTATATTTTTTGTTTTTGTCTATTTTTATTTGTTTTGACATATTACTTTTTTCATTTTTTAGTATTACATATTGTCACATTGGTCGATAGTGTTAAATCGAACAAATTACGTGTTAAATCGAACAATTTGAATGTAGAAATAAGCATTCTTACTTTTCAATGAATTTTTTGATTTTTGGCCATCTTGAAGATTTTCGGATTATAGAATAATTTTTTCACTTTACGATAATCGATGAAACTTGTCTAAATTTCATTCGCTTCTTTACTTTTTCTGTCGGAAAATATCGTTTATTTTTACACAATCTATTTTTGTTCTGGCACATGGTTTCTTCTAATAGTTTTCTTAAATGTTATCGAGATAAAACATTTCTAATGCAAATTTAAAACTATAGTAATAATATTAATCAAATTAGAATACTTATTGACTTGTAAAACAAACAATTTTAAATAATTAAATTTTTAAAACAAGATATATAATTCTTTAAATAATGTTTTTATAAAATAGAAATTAATGAATAGAAATGATAAATCAAATTTATTTACTAAATCTAAGTATTAAAAAAAAGTGTTTATTTCTTCGAAGTATTTAATTTAATCGGTTTGAAGAAAAATTTTTCATATGCATTAAATTAAATAAATAAATTATTCTATAATTATAATTTTTTAAAATTTATGTATAAGTAATTTATATTCTTTACTTATTATTATTACTTATTATTATTAATAAAATTATTATTAATAAAAAGTATGATATAGGATTTTATAAAGTGTTTATGAATAGTGTAAATACATAGAAGTGTATAAGATTTGTATCTTTACTAGCGTGCAATAGTTCAAAAGAGAAAATTGTGTCGAGAGCGTAATCGGGACGGAAAGATAAAATTCGGAAAACTTAGTTTTAACGAATTATGTATTATTATGTTTTGATATCTTGATTTTTCTTTCTTTGTTTTTCAAAAAATTTAATCGAACCTATTTAAGATTCGCCACGAGGAAACTCTTTATAGAAGCATGATTACATTGAAACCGATGAAAACAACAATCGATGGGAATCAAATGTTAGATGCCTGATATTGAATTGTTAGCGAAGATTCACTGTTAAGACACAAACTAATTTACCGTACGGTTAAGCGACTCTAATTGAAACGAACGTCGCAAAACAATTGTTTGCGCAACAAGATTTCGATTGTTACCATATATCTCGATAAAAATTATTTTGCGCGGATCATATTTTTTTTTTTTTATATATAAATATAAATTTTTAAGTCATTAATTTTTCATAGATTCAATAATTTTTTCAGACTCGACAAAATTTGCCGATTTTTAAATAAATTATCCATGGAGACAGGAATCCCCGTAAAATTTCCGATTCTTTGACGTACGTTACTGCAATTTTTATCTCAAGACTTTGCAGTGACAAAAGTAAATGACCCGAGGCAATTGGAGACCTCGTTTACTTCTACCTTAAATTTGTAAGGAAGCTTTCTTTCACAGGTAAAATTCCTTAGATTGATCTTTTCATATTCCCATAAATTTCGAAACTGTACACATACTATTCTACACTATACGTATACAATCACATTTAGAATGTTAACGCGCGAATATAATTTTCTCAAAAGTAGATACTTATTGGAACAAAACAATGCAATTTAAGTGGATTTCAATACAACATCGTACTGTGCAATTTTTCGTTTATACATAGAGAAAGTAAATATTATACAGAAAAATAAGAAATATAATTTCTCTTAATCACGGTATGCAAGAAAACATAATACTTATTTAATAAATAAGTGGCGTAACACGTTTCATTTAACTGTTATAAACCGAATTTCAATAACGTTGTTAAGAATAGAATACTCTGAAAAAATTAAATGGAATTTAATATTTGGAACGATTAAATAAGATATTGGGGTTAAGTAAGAAATTGTAATACTTGGAGAAGTTACACTTTTGTTTTTTCTTTTGACGCGGTTCGTTGATTTACTCTTTCTTTGATTTCCACGCGAACCCGTTTCAGTCTTGTAACTAGATATGACTCAGAAGGATAATGAAAAGAAAGTTATTTCCGAGATCATTATCGTTTAAACATCAAAATGTATATATAATAATTTTATTACTAAAATCGATATTATTAATTTGATACGATCAATCGTTTTACATAATCGATGATATTTCATGATTTCGTTTTAGATATAAATATGTACCTATGTATATACGTGAAATAATTTTTATCATAATTATCATCATTATTTTGATTATAGAAAAAAAAAAAAGAAAACTATACATGTTATAATATAGAAAATTATAATATATATACATACGTGTATATTGTATACATGATTATATGCATATCATGACCGCTCAATGATCAGATATATATAATGAAACAATCTCAAATGTTCATCTTATCATGAAAAATGATGATACATACGTGACTTCGTTACGTGTTTATTATCTTAGTATAGTTCCACGAGTTGACAAATTTTAAAAAACAAGTGTCACCCTTCATTATAAAAAGTGTAAAACATGAAAAAACATCATAACAATTTTCTTTAGTATATACAAACAGCTTTCTAATTATCTATATTCCGAAATTCTGAATATACATAGTATATTCTTATATATCCTTGAACATCATTTCAATTGCTACTACTATAGAAGAGAACAAAGCAATTTAGGAACAATTCGAGTTTATTCGAACAGTTATGCTCTTCTCTTTTCAACATAAAAGCTTTCGAAGTTCGAAATAACTTAACCTTTAATTTCAAGTGAAAATCTTTCGAAATCGGCATTTCGAACTCCAACTTGTAGTTATCGTTTATCTTCAAATGCGCCACTTGAACAGAAAAAATATAGTCGCAAAATATCCATACACTGCTTTATTCTTACAAATGTTCGGCCAAAGATTAAACATAAGATCTGTACGCTTGCAACTCTTATTTTTTCTTATTAGAATTCACCACGTTATATAATTAAGAGTTAAAATTTAATTTATAATTTTTTAAATTTATAAATCGCATCGTGCATTAATAAAAAAAAAAGAAAAATTGACAGCCGATAATGATCGATGAATTGAAACGGTATTAAGCGGTACAGTTAATTGTCCTAAACGGTGAGAAGCATAGTTTCATCATGTCTTCGATGATATAACGAAACGGGTACCGTTTGTTACTTCCGGGCCAGTCGATGGCCAAATGGAGAGGACACGGTATAGGCCGTTTACACGATTCCTAGTCCGCAGAGCACTTTGTTACCTGAACTATCGGAAATACCTGTTGGCGGTCCCGTGAATGAGTGGGTGGATCATGTCTATATCGCACGACCTATCGTGATCACTGGCCGCGATCAGGATGCACAACATTTGCATAGATAATCCGTAAGCTCGAAAACGGCCGCCTATTCCTTCTCGCGATCGCGATTCGTCTGATTTCGCGTGTGATCGATAGTGTGTTGTTCGACGTCGTCGTGAAAGGAACTGATCAACGTATATAAGCGTTTTCTTTTCTCGATTTTCTTGCTTCGTGGATCGGATGATCGGTTTATCGAAGTGGTTTACATAGATGAATAGAAAGCAATATTTTTTTTTCTTTTTCTAAATAACGATCGTATTCAGTGAAGTGAATAAGATTTCTGTAAGTATTAAATTGTATCTTTTCTCTGTTATTATTTTTTTTTTTCTTCTTCTTCTTCTTCTTATACTTCGTAAACTTGATCGAATAATATTGCTCAAAGAAAGCAAAAAATGTTAATTGGTACTGATAACTTCGATAAAAAATTTTTTCGATGTCAAAAGCTTCGATTGCCCCTATTTACAAGGGAATAGGAAATCGATGATTCGTTCAATAGATGTTCGAAATTATCACGGCAGGCTAGATTGAAACTCTTTAGAACGAGCCGAGCCTACCAATTGAGAATCGTTGGAATTTTTGTAAAAGCATATCGTGCCGGAAATGATTCCACCAATTCGATCTTTGCAAATCGTGGAACGATCGTTCCGCCCGGCTAGTCGCCTTTAAAGAATCCGACTCGATCTGATTGATTAGCTCATTTAAAGCGGCGATTTAATGTTGTAGAACGCGACAATTCAATGATTTGATTAATATTTCTTCCCGCAAGCACCTGTAGCCCGATCAAACGTTGTCCATCCGCGGTTAATCCATCCTACCATTTTAGATGTAATTACATCTACTCAATGAAGATTCCATTTCAAAGAATTATTACTTACTGGCGCAACACTTGATCGCCTTTACTATAATTTCCTATAATCATTTTATATAATTCAAAGAAAAATTTTTATCCTGTGTTATTAATTATTATTATTTTAGTCCAATAACTGTTTCCATTGCGTTTCGAATACTAAAAAAGAATCGATCATAAAAATAAATCAATCTTCCCAACTCGTTCAATTTCAATCAAAACTCAACTTGTGCGTGTTCATAAAATTGACAATACGTGTCACTGTTGTGTCGTATGCAAACTTCCCAAATTGTATGAAGAAATATCGACAAAAACGTATCGATAAGTAATGATAATATTATTGATAGCGTGCAAACCCCTTCAGAATTGTGGCAAAGTGATGTGGCAAAAATTTGGAAAGATAAGAATTGGAAAAGTATCGGTCATTATCGAATCTATGTTTACTCAATTGAAACATACTATAGATTCGCGATTCCCAGATATCAATCGTTTTTAATCTCTTTAATCTCTATACTTTTGTTCGACGATCTTTCAACAATTGGCGCGTCGCAACAGGGATCGGAGTTACGGGGTAGATCCAAAAATACGTAGTAGCACGGGAAGGCGATGCGAATCTTCTATTTAAGAAACTACATTTTCCACGCTCATTCTTGTATTCAAGGACCGGAGTCTACACTCTGTGTTATCGCGTCATTACCGAGAGAAGCACGTCTCGCACCTCCTCGCAACTTAATTGCGCGCTCGTTGCTCGCTAATTGCGCAATTCGTCCAACATTTAAACACGCGTTACCCATTTTCTTTTGGGAGCGTAAATTTTTAGGTCGTGACTTCATCGATCCGAAAGTTGAAAGTGCATCACGCTTGACCTACACTTCCTCTCTTATTTACTTTATCCAGAAAGGTAGATCTTTGGCCGAGCCGAATTTATTGGACCATGAGAATCTTCGAATGAAAAAAAAAAAAAGAAAGAAAGAAACTGTCGGATTAACGATATTAGATGTAACGTATTATACAGGCATACACTTGTTTCGTTTAAAACACGCTAGGTATTATAAGTTATCGGCATAGTAAAGCATAGTAAATTAGTAGGGATTTCAAGGATGCAACAATACGTGTAAGGCCATGAGGGCAAATGCTATAGGTTTAAAGGTCGGGCGAAATCTAGGTATAACTTCTTTTGCGTGTATTTTAAAACAAAAAAAAAGTTTAGATAAATATACGTTCTACGATCTATCTTTAAAAAAATAATGGCATGGTAAATAAATTCAATAAATATCTATAGATACGTATAGGCTGTGAAGCGTTTTATAAACGAAATCTCGGTATAAGTTCTCTATATTTTAAAGCAAGTGGAAAAATACGAAATTTGTGTTTAAGTACGATTTGATTTTATGAATGTACATCTGCGTGTATTTTATATCTCGTATTCGAAAAATCCATGAGGATGCTAAAAGAGAAGGTTAATCGTGTTATAATCATTCGTGGCAACCATTGAAAAATTCGCGTTACGTATTTATCATTTTAAACTTTCATCGTTTATTTTATCACTTCATAAATATGAAAATGGCAGGTTTCAATGACTGATCAATACGTGGAAATAAAGTTTTAATATTCGCTCGAGCGAATATTCTATGTGCAGTGAAGAAGTCTTTGTGCAAACGAACAATTTCGCGTGTCATACGGTTTATGTAAAGTTTCTCATAATAAATCGCCGCTCGTTAACGATTTTGATGTGTGTACGGTTGCGTGAACAGGCGAGGAAAAGGCAAAAAGAAAGTCGTACGCGTTTCAACGGACGAAACCACTTCCTAATACGCGCCTCCTGCGTGAACAATACGTGTTGCCATTCGAGTGTTGCCGCGTGCACGCCGGAAATCAAAAACCAGTCCAATCGATATGTCTCTCTTCTCTTTGCTTCAAATCATGAGGGAAGTTACCAATGCGGATTAAGAGTAACCGCAGTTGGCTAACCAATCGTTATATATATATATATACACACACATATATATCGCTCTCTATGATGATCCAACGTTTTGTTTTTTTTTTTTTTTTTCGTATGACGAAACATGCGCTTGTGCAAGATAACAAGATAAGGTATACATAATGAGATAATAAAAGTATGGTAACAAGGTAATAAAATTTGCATGAAAATCAAATATGCATATTCCATTTCGTGATATAAAAATTTTTGTTTGAAACGAAAATGTCAAAGGAACTTCGACATGCCTTTTCTTGCCTAAGTTTAAGTGATAATTATCCGTTTTAATATCGAAAAGAAAGAAAAAAAAAAAAAGAAAGATCCGTGGGATATTCAATTGCTCGTTCCCAGCTCGATTATCGTGCGATGATATATTCTGATGTAGAGCGATCAGCGTCGTTAACAAAAGAAAGTTCACTGTTAAGAAATTGCCATCTTCAGAAACCACTATGCTTCACGGCTTGCCTCGCGAAAACGTAGACGGAAGTTCCGCAAATTACCTGTAAAATATTATTGTGGATCGCGCGAACGCTCGCCCGATAAACCGTGACCATTAACGGGCTATGTTTTAGTAGGCTGTATGCAAATGATTATAGAACAGGAAGTAACGGGTCGACGAACCAAGATCCCTAACATTTTAGCGGAACTTGTTATACCGTTTGCGTAATGGAAATCGATCGACACGTTCCCCGCGCGGTGTGTTCATCGCGTGTTGTCTCGCGAGAATTTGAGAGAAAGTTTGATTTTAATTACCCGTCGAAAATGGAGACTAACGACTTCCATTAATCGGCGAATTTCTCGTATCGTTAACGATTCGCTTAATTGAATATATCCAGCCAGTTAATACGTGCTTGAACAAGCGTGAACAATATTTTTCTTCTTCTTTTTTCAAGAGGTAAATTTATGCCTTGGGTGCGAATCGATCGGATGAGATTTATTCGCGACGAGCATTTTCCAAACGAAGCGTAACGAAGAAAACACTTCTCTCTCTCTCACACACACACATACACACGCAATGTTCTTTCTTCTCTCTAATTTTCACCGGTGCACTTACGTTATAATTAAGTCGAATTAAGTTGATCGTACGATCACCGACGAAACGTCTGGCCCGTCATTCAGAACTCATTAACCTCGTATTAACGCTCCAAGCTTTCCATTTGATCTATCGTTTAAAGCTCACGGAAGCTTACCACCCCTCGTGTTGGCTGGCATTTGCACACGGATCGACCCACATAGATCGCCTCGAGATTACACTCTGGGCCTAGATTGTTGTACAGCGATTAAGGTAAATACAAAAAAAAAAAAAAGAGAATCTACTCTTCAAGTAAGTAACCAAATACACTTATATATACATGTATTTGTACAATAGAACGGCATGATTACATATACATTCTCGAAGGAATATCGTAAAACGTGAATATTCATGTTCGGGGGGAGGAGGGCTTGTATTATTCTTCTCGAACGACATTTCGACGAAGCGTCGTAGAGAGAAGAAAAGGGACCTCAGCCTCTCAACACCTCTCGATTAAGTGTTCCTTCTATCGGTGATGGAAAGTTTGTGAATCGATCGATTCGCATCGATCAGCAGGATGTCGTTGTGGAGATAGCTGATCAGGGCCGTGCAGACCCGATCCGCCCGTTTCGTGACGAAGTAGTACAAGGGCGCCCAACTCTTCACGCCGATGTACATCGAGCAGATCGTCTCCCGATCAGTCTCGCTGATCTGCCTCGCGTACTTGATGAACGTGCAGAACTGCGACTTGGTCGCTGGGGCGTACACGGATCTGAGACGCGGCCCTATGTCGCCCAACAGCCGATAGAACTTCCGGCCGCGGAATCTGCTCCCCAGTATATTGATCGTGTGCAAATTACGGCACCTCTCCAGTATGCGGATCAGGTAGCCCGAGCGTAGATACAATTTCGACGTGGAACCTGTGGCAGAAAGTTTCCTCTGCTCCATCATTATGATACTGACGTGTCATTCCGTTTAAATACGTATTTTTCTTCTCGTTTTTCTTCCCTGTTTTAATTCTCTCTTAAGTAAAGCGTTTCGTTTGTACGTCAGAACGTATGTAGATGTATGCAAAAATTGTACACGTTGTGTTTCGCGCCCCACTTCGTCGGCCATTAAAATAGTATGCAAACATACCGGTGAACGGTATCCTCGGCGTTAAATGTTGTTGCTTAGAAATTTATCGTCGCGGAATCGATTAAAGCGGATCGATGGAATGTTAAAAGAGAGACTGATTGTGAAAAACATGGATTGCATTCCGCGTGAGAGGAATTCGTACATATCTCAGTTAGGATCAATTTATTCGAATCGTCGGGGAAGCTTGACGCGCTTCGACGCGAGAAGAAGAGAAATATAAGGCGTGCGATTTATTTAAACGATATGTATAAATATATCGTCCGAGCCCATCTTTTTTCTCCCGCACTGCAGACGAATGCAATGAAACGTGTTTGGAATACTAATTACGTCAAAGCCGCGGTAAACACGGTTGCCAGGTCAAACAGCGCATTCTATCTCGTGTGAATCATACGCGAACACCCTGCGAATCGATCGAAATTTTCTACCCCCTTGTGACTGCGTGATAGTCATCGTCCGACCAAGAAGAAGATAAAGGGGCAACGAAATGGATGACAAAGGGAGGGGGTGCTTACTTTGCAGTGCGGGACGCGGCAAAAGAAGGCTGGAATGCACCATTAGGAAATAGTAACTACAGAGACGCGTTCTTCTTTTTTTTTTTTTTTTGCTTGACACGTAGCCAAAACTATTTTCTCCATTTTTCCACCGTATTTTTTCCAATTTTGATAATGACGAACTCGGGATATTTGAAGGATATAGGAAAGACAGATAGGAAGAAGAAAACGAGTGCAAGATGAAAAAGAAAGAAAGAAGAAAGAAACGGATAAAAAGATTTCAGCCGGGCAGAGTTTTTTGAACCCAAGCCAAAGGTCCTCCGCACTCTTAGCTTTGTCAATACCGGTCCGCATGAGGTCGAGAGACGAGGAAAAACTTAATTAAAAGAAAGAGAGAAAAAAAAAAGAGCTGACGATGAGATAGAGGGGAATATAAAACCTGTGCAATTAGAAACGTGGAGTTCCTCTAATTTTTTGTTCGTCAGCGAGATCTGCCGCAAGATCTCGTCGCAATCCGCTCTGACACTTATACTGAACTTCTTCAGCAGCGGCATCCTCTTCAGCTCCTTAATCACCTCGGCTGTATCTTGTTCGTTGTTCGTCACCTGAAAATAAGGATACGGATAATTAATAAATAAGAATGGTTTTAAAAATTTTTAAGATTCATCCTTTTCTCTTCCCTTTAAAGCTGTGCAATTAAATCGATTGACGTATATACCTCGTAAGTTCGCCATAAAAATGGATCGTATGCGAGCCGGTTGAAAAACAGGGACACGTGACTGATGGCGTAAAGGTCCTTGTAGGAGAGATAGGAGAAAATTTCGAAGATGATCTCCACCGGTAAGGACACGATTCTTGGGATCGGAAACGATATCGGAACCACGGTCTGTGAGTCGCACTTGTTACCAATCCTGGTACGCTTCCTAATGGGCTCTCGAGTAATTGCAAGCTCGTCCATTCTCGTTGCGTTTCCATTTCTGGCATTGGTACGCGCGCGTGCTCTCACATTGTCTCTCGATAGGCTGTCGTGAATAATTTCTCCGGGCACGATGATCAATAGTTATCGTTTATTGCTAATTTTATTTCTTTTGCGAAGGTTACCGCATTAAGACGCCGTATGAAAAAGACTAGGAATTTTGACATCTGTCAGATACGTCCTGTCGCTTTTGTTTTGTTCCCAACAAATTATATTTGTGGTTATCGAACGCGGCTCGTTGCAAATTTCGTATTTTCTTTTTTATCCTTCTCCCACTTGCTGCGCAATGGATAGACGAATTTGGGGATGAATCTACATTATTTTCTAATCATTTTTATCATTTTATCCTTTTTCTGTAGATGATCTTTGTCGAATGAACGTACTTGGAAAAGGAATAAAATTCCGTCTTCGTTGTTATGCCCACCACGCCGATCACGAAAATCATGATAGTGACTCATGCAGCGACCATGCCTCTGTCACCTGCTTTTCATTCCAGTTAATGGCAAGGGATACCGTAATAAAGCGATAAATTTCAATTTTTTTTTTTTGGTAAGAAGTCACGAGTATATACGTGCGTGCTTTTAATGACCACATGTCGTGCATATGTAATACACGAAACATATGTCTGAGGATTTTGTCTTTGATGATAACGTTCTATTTAAAGATCGGTTTCAATTACTTTTTTTCTTGCGTTAAATTGTTAAGGACTTTTAAAAAACTAATATATATATATATATATATATATTAATAGAAAAAGTTTGTTATATATTATAAGATATACAATAACGAAATGTAATTCAAAATTTGATAAAAAAAAAATCAAGGTCAATTAAATTTTTCTTCTCATTGGATGTTACATTTTTTATTCGATGTAACCATTATAACCGGTTTTGAAACGAGTTCAACGTCTCGCAAACTCGAGATCACTCGAGATCCGAATAGCATAATAAAATGATTTCGAACATTTATCTTGTATCTTGTTATACTTTAATAAAAATACAAGAAGAAGAGGCGGGAGTTATTCAAAGAAACATCTCTAGGCAGTCATCGGCTCTTTAAATAATAAACGAATTCATTTATAAAACGATGAACGCATTCGAAGAAAGATCGATCGAATTGATCGGGGTGGCATTCGAACATTTCACAGATATAACGTCAACGCTATTCAAAGCGTAGGACGACACGTTATTTTTGAGATATAATTACGACATATAACGTCGACATCGCATAACTTGACAAATAGTTGTAATGTCGAATAGACCCGAATCGTTTCTTCGTCTTTAATTTTTTTTCATTCAGCATACCTTGATCTGATTACCTACATAAAGTAAGCAAATCTGGCAAGAGTCAAGGTACAAGCTATATTGCGGTTTATATTTGTTGCCCATTGACATTCCAGGTGGTAGAAGTGCAAAGTGCATGGTAACGCAGGAATCTTAAAAATCGATTGTCTATCTATAAGCACTAAACTTTCAAATGAATATAATAAGTGTAATTCTTTATTTAAAAAATAATCTTCTCTATCATCGTGTTAGAATTAACGCAAATTTTATACGACAGATTTATACACTTGATAATATTAAAATAAGATGAATAAACTATCCATATAGTATATATACCAACTGTCCTTCGACTCACTCGTTCATCCATTCTGTCGGTTTGTTGAATGTCAGTTAACGTGACCGTAAAAGTTTGTCTCGTTGGCTTTCACGCTCGTTTCCACACAATCTATTGACGTTTCTGTCAATACGCGCGATAACACATTCGTGAATCCCACGAAACGAAACAATGAGAAACTACGTGAATACTCTCTCCTTAACATGTTATCTTTTTACGCGCCACTAACGAGACTGACATTATCTATCTTGATATGGATGAAAATGCTTTTTATTAAATTTTATTTCGAGTTTACGATTGAAAATAAAATAAGTTCTTGCTTGAAAATTACAGATATTATGTTGTCTCAAATGAAAAGCAATTCTACTAGAAAGCTGGAAGGAAAACGACCGAAAGAACTAATGTCGTCTTCCAGTCTTTCCGGTATGTCACAATTATCGAACAGCAGTGAAGAGACTTTGGAACCTCTTGTGCATAAGCCGCACAAATTGGAAACGACAGAAAGGTAAGTCAGCCTAAAAATTTAAATGTTTTGTTAAAAAAATATAATATTCTTTTCTTGTCAAAATTTGATATATATTTTAATTAAACTTTTAATTGGAAATTATTTCATATTTTTTATAAAATATATAATGATAAAAAAAATAAAATTCATTAACATAATTCATGAAAAATTAGATTTAACTTTAATGATTTTAAACATACTAAAATAGATTATCCGATTTCTATTTTACCGACATCTGATAAACTCGAGGGCGCTATATTCTAAGAGAGAAATTTTTGCAGTAATGATACAGGAATAATATAAATTGTATCTGTTACTTGAAGTTTTTATCGATTTTATTAATATTTTTAATATTTTAATATTTAAAAATATCTAATTAAATTAAAATACTTATATTAATAATAATTAAATTATACATGCAATAGTTTGTAAAATATATTTTATAGCACAACGAAAGACGCAAGTCCGCAAAACAACGAATGGCTATTAAGTGGACCAAGTGGGAACAAGTCTATTTTACGTTTCAAGTAAGTTTAACGTCTTATTCCTTTATGATTTACATATAATATGCAAAATACAATAAATTATACAATGCAATAAATTATATTGCAGAATAATGTAATCTTTGATATTTTTTTTTTTTTTACTGTTTTCTTAGATGTTCCGCATTAGCAACTCCTCCGAAAGAACCTCCCGCGAAAATATTGCACATGACCTATAAAATTTTTCAAACGGACACTAAACTTATTAATCTTTTGCTGCAATCACACGGCTTAACAGAGGTAAGTTATTAAAAAAACAAATCAAATTTATTTTCAAAAAATTATTTATTTTCAGTACATATGTACTAAGAAAATCAAATCATTCGTTCATAACAGAAATTAATTTTTTGTTTTTTTCTTTCTTTTTTTTTATTTTTTTATTTTTTTATTTTTATTTATTTATTTATTTTTTTTTTTATTTTTAAGTACTCATTAATATACAAGTTGCGAGAATAGTGATACAACTTATATTTAAGACAAATACATTTTTTATATATTTTATCATGACACTTGTTTACTGGCATAATTTTTTTTAACTGAATTTTTAATTTAATAATTATATTTTGTGATATAAAAAAAATCGTATATTTCGTATTATATATTTTGATTTATTTGTTAATAATATTACTGTAATGTAAGTTACTATATATAATATGAAATAGTTTTCTACATATAGTTTTCTTTATTTAATATTTAATATGTTATTATTCAATATTACTTTAGTACTTATCGTTGTAACGAAGTATATAATTATACAAGAAAATCAAATCAGAATTCAGTAAATAAAACAAAAATGTATTTTTAAAAAAATTCTAAGATGACCAATTACTGTTACGAGTTGCATTTAAATTTACATTCATTTAATTATATAATAAACATTTCTTCCCATTTATCCAAATATAAATTGTCTTATATTTATTAAAATTATTTTTAATACTGACAATTTTACAGTCTATTAAAGTATAACAGATTTAAACAGTAGCCAATTGTGTCATGGACAAAATTTTTAAAAATTTTTAAAAATCTGTTACTGAATACAATTACCACAAAACCAATGAGCTCCTGGACATAAATCTACATCTAAATTTGCGCGAGTAAGTGTTGTTCTTAACATCCTTACACCTTCACAATCTAAACCCCAATTTGCCAAATTTCCAATCTTTTTCAGTCTTTTACAATTTTTAAACATGTTAAGGACAGTAGTTGCAGATACTTTACTGGCCTCATATATATAAAAACACGTTAGATTTTGTACTAAACTATTTTCACATTTATCAGACTTTCTTGGATTTCTATGCTTGTTTGATACACTCAATAATTTTTCCAAGTGTTCATTAGTGAGATCAAAACAACTATGAACATGTAATGCTGTTAATTCTGGTGCTAATGAAAGAAGTTTTGTTATAGCAATAGCACTCACTATACGTCCTAATTGAATTTTTTTCAAATATTTTAATGGAGGAGGGTCGACACCTTCTGTCCAAATTATATTTGACCCATCATTAGTAAATGTTCTAAGATTAGAACAACTACTAAGAACTTCTTTCAAATCAACTTGAATAGGATTTTCATTTTGAGTTATTCTGAGATTAAGTTCACGTAAATTATGACCATTAGTACGAAGATAATCATAAAAACCATCTAACCATTCTCTTTGAGGTGGTATACTGTGCACACTCAAGGAAGTAACATAGGGAAATAGTCTCAAAGCTTCAGGAGGATGATGAGGCTCAGAAATATGTAATTTTTCTACTCTTGGACAAGCCTGCGCCAGAAGTTCCAAACGAACTGGAGTAGTTCTGCTACTTCTTGCTTGAGTTAGACTAAATGGAGTTTTAAATCCAATAAGTCCTTTATTCATTATTTCCACTACTCTTCCCATGTGACTATATTCTGCTAAAGATTCCAATCGTGGGACATGTACCAAAGCTAAAAGTACTCCTGCACTGGTAACACCAGTATTAGCAACATTAAGTACTCTAAGTGTGTCACAGAGAAAGTTTCTGCTTTCATAATATTCTAATAATACCCCTTGTTTTTCCTTCTTTTCTGATTTAGAATTTTTCATTTTCAATTTTGAAAGTAATGTTTTTAAACGAGACCAACTAGTAGGTTCTTGCATAGCAGTATGAGGTACTTTATCTCGAAGTTCTACTTGTAACAGTAATTGTTTCAATCCTATATCTGTTACTTGTCTTGAACAAGCTACATCCAAATGCACAAGTTTTGGACAGGCTTTTCCCACCACTTGAAGCACTGCATCACTGGCTATATTACGCAGAGTTAAACTCATTAAATTTTTCATATTTAAAAGTGCACATCTTAATAATTTGCAATCTAATCTTAATAAAGCAGAACGAGCCAATTCTAAAGATTCAAGTCCAATTCCTTCTGATGCAAGCAGTTTTAATAATGATGTTTGATGACTACATCCATAATAACAACAGAGATTCACTTTTAATTGCTTTATATCATGCCCAAGAAGAAGGGCTAAAAGATATAAAGGAGCTGGGCCAGAAATTAAAGTTGATCCATCAGATGCAGGTCCATATAACATTTTTGAAGTTTCTTCAATAACTTGAGATCTTAAACGTGCTGGCAAGGCATTAATATAATATGGTCTTATGGTCTGCTTTGCATATGCCAATACTTGTGCAGCGGATGATTCTTGTGAAAGCACCTGCAGCCTTCGGCACGTCCCGTCGAGTTGTTGACACACACGTCCCAAACTAAGCCCCTCTAGGGAATTAGGCTGACGGTGGCCAGGCATCTTCTCTTGTTCATTCACTATAATATTATATACATTATTTAATATAATATAATGACATAAAAATTATTTCAATATTTATATTTTAAGTAAGAACAATTATATATTATTAATTATATATATACAATATTAAAGTTTGGAATTACTAGAATTTGCTAACAAAATTTAACACATGATAATTAATATATGAAATTTATTACAACTCTTTTCTTGTGTATTATGAAGTATTTTAATCGTAAAAATTAAGTATTCAAATAGATTTAATTATAAAGTTATAAAAAAATATGCGTATAAAAAATTATTTTTTTTAAATACTAAATATTAATTGCATATACTGATAGACGAAATAAGATCAATGTTATAATTTTGAGGTTAACTACGTTTAAATCACAGTATAATAATTGTTTTTTTGCTTTACAAGTTCCTACTTTAATATGAATATCGTAATCATATTATCATGACAAAATCATCTGAAGAAAACATTCTATATAAACAACTTTCCTGTATAATTATGAGCAGCGAAAAATCGTTGCTACTATCCTCACAAACTTTCATGGCAGAACGCGCCGACGCTTTTTCTTCACATTGTTTAACTATTGTTTATTGAAACTATCATAAATTCAAAAAATCATCATTTTTTATTTTTTGATAAATCTAAATATTTTAAATTTGTAATTATAAAAGATGTTTTTACACTCCTACTATTTTTTATTATTATTTTTTTTTTTTTGATAACAAATGAATATATAACTTTAATTTACAATTTTCTAGTTTTGTATTTGAAAAAAGAATAGCTAATCAAAACGTTTAAATAAATGATTCTTTAATTGAGTTATTATCAAAGTAAAAATAAATTTTTACAAATTTTTAATTTAATAGTAAAAGAAAAATAAGTATTTTATTTTATATTTAATAAACTAAATAAAATTTGATATACTTGTATTTGTCTTTCTTTCACGATTCTATGCGTCATGATATATCAATCAGAAAAATTAAAAAATGTGTTTTGTTCTAAAAATATTACACCATATTATATTTATATATTATAAGTTATATATATGTATATATTTTTTTATGTATCATTATGTATCGTGAAAAAATCGATTATCATTATTTTCAAGCTTCATCATCAATTTTTTCTATTAATTTAGAAAGAATATTAATTCATTGCTTAAGTGATTATTCGTTATTGGCAATATAATTAATTAAATTATAATTTAATATATCATTCTTTCGTTGAAATTGGCTTTTCTTTTACATTGCATAGACAAGATGAAATACGAATTTAATTCAAATTCGAATTTTAATTCATTATATAAATAAATAATATCGTAAAACTAAATCATCGATAAAATGATTTCTACATTAGTAATACAGTAATACATCATTCATAAGATTATTTTTCTCTGCTATTATCACACTAACGTCTTTATTTCAATCGATTTCTATTCTGTACATAAACGATGTTCGTCTAAGCAATTATCAAAGACCTGTTGCGAGAGTGACAGAAAGGTGGCATCGATGCATGCTATAATTGCGAAAACGTTGGAGAACGGTCCGCGAACAGCAAGGTTTCACGCGACCTCTTGTTAATTAACTAACGCCTCGTGTACCGTAATGCAATTTTGCGAGTCGTCACAGATAGCTATCTATATGCACGCACAAACGAAATCAGAAGAAATATATTAAACGTTAAATTTATAGAATAAATATTATGATGAAAACGATTACGAAAAATCACAAATAAAAAAAAAGATTAGAAAACATAATCGCTATTAACTTGAAAAAAATATTAGATTTAGATTAAAAGTAAATATTGCAATTGTATTTAAACTTGACCTAGACCTAGCTACTGTTTGATTTAGACTAAATCACGCGGCAAAAGCATATCTTAGATTTTACATGGAAATAATTACTCATGCAAATAGAAACATATGCAAATCGCATTCAGTTCTGATTGGATAATACTTGAGATTGAATTATTGAAATCTAATCGGTTTCTTCGATATTTTATTCTTTATTATTGCGTCGTAGGTCACATATTTCGGTAATATGAATGTTATCTTCAAAGTTTCAAATCGATTCCGTAGAAGCCGCAATCGGACAACCAGAGAGAAATTCGCGTGATGCACATGACGCGATTAACATCGAAATCCGAACAATATGTAAATACAGTGTGTCGTTCACACGTTCGGTTACATAAAGGCAAACACGACCGAATCTGACATACTGCTGCGACACTTTCACTGGACCATTTTTTTTTTTCGTTCATTCTACTTGCGAGCAATCGACGCTACTTTCTAGTAACGGTATTAAAACGGCTTGACACTCAATGTTCACATTTCTACATCACTGGAACTAATTGGAAATATACTTATACTTAATGATATTCGATCATTGATTTTCTTGATTCAATACAATATTTTTTAATCGATTTAAACACCGTGTTGCACAAATAAGTAACTAGTAAGTAACGCATACTCGAGATACATTGAGTATATGTTACCCACGTGTCACTGTATCAATAAGATCTAAACAAAACTTTCAAACTCTTTCAACTATAAATCGTGTACATTTTAAAAGAACGCTTTTCTTCGAGTAATAGGAAAAAAATGATCGTTTATTTCAAGTAAATATTTTTAAATTGAAATTTCGATCGAATCTTTTCCCATTTCGTATTCCCAACCGATCCAAATTCAGTGTTCAACAGTTGCGTATATGTTTCTAAAAGCAGCGCAAAATCTCTGGCATAGGTTGCCCTTTTACTCATATAACACGGCTTTAACTATATCTTTCACGAAACCATCAAATACTTTTTAATAACACTCCTCTCAATTTTCTCAATACGAACGAACCGAATTAAAAGTAGTATTTTAACTAGATAAACATTAGTAAAGAAAATCATAAAGAAAGAACGAGAAAAAGAGCGGAATATATTCTTCGCAACAGTATCGAATAACGCCACGATGCTCATCGCCCCTCGAAATATTATAATTCATGAAAGAAGCAAATAACTCCGAGCTCGTAAAGTATCGATCGTAATTCCCTGTTTATCTCTTCTGTTCGCACTCGATTCTTCGTGAAAATTAAGCTCTGTTTTGCGACGAAATTTCAAGTCGAAAATAAAAAGTGATCGAAAAGTTAGGTCGGTATGTTGTTAATAAGAAACGGCGAGAGATTGATCATAGTCTAGAGAGAGAAAGAAAAGGAAAAGAATGGTATCGCGTCAGGTGCCTACCTTGAACAAGCAAGTCCCCTACGGGTGTCTCCTGAGCGGCGGCTCGTGCTAGACTGCCGCCGCTACGAAATCGCATGCGTCTGCTGGCTGATGCGGACTCGGTTCTCGACTCGGCTCGGCCCGCGACCTCGTCGTCCGGCTTTTCGCTTGCCCACTACACTCACGATGCTACACACTTCTCCATCCATTCTGGGGCTGAGTAGTCGAGCCGCCAACTCTCGGTCCCTCGTCGTTTCATAGTTGCCTTAAAATATGCTTCTTTATTTATTTATCGGATAATGATTACAGGATATCTCGCCGTTGCGTGCATTACGCTCTCCCAGCGATATGCCTCGCGTTATCGTGAAAAATATCGATTTTCCGGAGGAAAGCACGTTGTTCTATCATCTTTCATCCTCTTTGAAACACAATTTCGTGTTGCGTGGTTGGTATGAAATCGCGTTGGACTTCACATCGATATTATATACATGTCAAAGATACGGAACGCAAAAGAAAATATTATTAATTCGTACTTTTTCACGAAAGATTATGAAACGATCGAGGAAATATATAATTTCATAATATCAAATAATTTTTTTCAAAGTAACATTCATTTTAATCGTTGGCAAATTCGTTGCGATTTGTAATTGGTGATTGGAAAGCGCGTTAATTGCCAGTCATTCGCCTCTGCGCTGCGGGTCATCGGGCGATCTCGCCCCGTACCCTCCTCCCGAGGTATTACACGCGGTGTCGGTGTCATCGACGTTCCAGAGGATCGTCTCATGATCGTTCGATCCGGATCAATTGCTCTTCAACCGAAACACATGTGCCTTGAAACGTAATTTGTTGCAACGAAGATAGAGACGCGTATATTTGTTTAATCGAGGATCATAAATTATGCCGAGACAATTAATTATTCACATTCACATTGCTCGAAACATCTCGCAAAATTTCCTTTTAGATCTTTTGAAGTTTTAGATGTTTCTTTCTTTCTTTCTCTACTATCTTGAAATTTTATTTTAAAGATCGAAAGCACGAGGTCAACGATGTCTCGCGAATGTGAGGACAATCGCCGGCTCGATATTCTTGTCTCTGTAAAAGCTCAGGTGCCATTGAAATATTTTTGGCGTATCGAAGTTGTAGGGCATCTCGATATAGCAGGGCTCAAAATTTCGAGAATTATTCGACTATTTCGGGATTTGGTAGCGAGGTCTCTCGACCCTCGCAAGTTTCCACTCTATTTTCGTCTGTTTACATTCTCAAAGGGATCGAATACGTTTTCTCGTCTCTTTGCGTTCATAACACCCTGTTACTCCTTCAAATTTCGTTTACTCGTACTACTCAGTACAATTTTCTAAGACTCGAGCGAATTGAGTTAGGGAAACCTTAATTGCTTCCTTCTTTGTCGTCTACCGACAAAGAGTTTTTTTTTTCTATGCAATTCTTTTTAAATCAATAGGAGAAGGATAAGAAGAGAGAATTTCAGTGGTTCGTCTCCGTCTTTGTGGATCGTTGAGTACATACACCAGCTCGTTATCCTTGATCGGTAACGCAATATGTGGCTCACGTAAAAGCGGCGAGCAAAAGCGCGACCATGTGTTTGCCTTCTTGTCGCGCGTGTAAGGTACATCGCATCTTCTGTTTTGATACCTTTCTTCGATAGATCGTAACAGAATCTTCTTCTAATCGTCACCTTCGATATTGCTGACGCAGACGTTCGTTAATCATCGTCTATGAACTTGTGAATCAATATCAATAACACGTATTATACATTCCCTGCTGAAACACGGACGCCTCTTTTTTTCCTCAACATCAATTGAGCATTTCGCAACAACGTTCGCTCATATATTAGAAATACGAAAAAAGAAAAAGAAAAAAAAAAAAAAGAAAAACGACGATTAAATCTTGCGATTCTAAAATTCGTAATTATGAGAAATTAATTATGGACGCATTAATGATACTAATATGAAATTCAACCTTAGAAATTAACGTTTTTAATTTACATATGATTATGCAAATATACGTAAAATTCTATGTGTTAGCTATCTATGTGTTATTTTTTTTATTATGTGTTAATTTTTTTTTTAAATTCATACACATTATTGAATTGCAGAAACTTTTTGCAAACAACAAATGTAAATTCACCGCAACTATTCTGTTTCCGCGACTATTTTTTTCGATGCCCTCGTCTTTTTCTCTCCCCCCTCCCCTCTCCCTCCTCTCCCCCCCGATAACAATCGGTTTTCGGATCCGAGAAAATTCGAGCTAGGCAAACTACCGGAGTAGTTCACGGTGTCGCGTTTCATGGTTCTCGCGCAATTACAGGGGATCGATACGAGGTGAAAGCAAACCTCGAGCGGTAAAGTAAAAAAAAAAAAGAGGAAGGTAGGATGAGATACGACAGTGGTGTCTACAAGTGGAGAATCTCTTCGCTCGGTCTCTTCGTTCCAATTAAGTCCCCCTTAAAACGCTTGATGCGCCGGTTTAACGCTGTTCGCCGACTGTGAAGTGTCGCGCAGCGTTTCCGCACGATGGGGGCCTCGCTCTGAATTTTTCCCTGGAGCAATTACGTTTCGCGGATTCATTTTTCTTGCGCGGTTGCAACACTCGGGAGATGGTCTCGACGACGCAGATCTCCAGCGGACGATCAGAGATGTCCTCTCGATGACAAACCCGATGGCAAAAAAGCGAGCAAAGTCAGAAGCAAAGAATGTTGCTCTCGACTCGTGCCACTCTCGCTTCGCAGATCCTTTTGCTTATATCGTCATGGAATGTACGAGTTAACGATGGAGATCTCGAATTGATCGGGATATGCAATATTCATCGAATTAGTTCCATTATCCATTATCCTATGACGCGTTTAAAGTAAAAACGTATAAAGCGAGAATAAACTTGTTTAATAA